AAGGAGTCCCACACAAACACCGTCTACGGGTCCGAGTACTGCTTCCGAAATTACAAGGCCCCGGAGCATTACCCAAGCCACGAGCTTTGCAACGCCTATTAGTGGTGTTTCTTACGCACAGGCCGCTAGAGGTGGACCGTCAAATAAGAATACCACAAGTGACACTTTGTTCACTGAAATGCTTCAGCAACAACAACGTCAGTTTGACGCAATTAATGCCGAGCTCAAAGCGATGCGAGAAGTACAATCCCAACAAGCAACCATGCTAAACAGTTTAATGGCCATCATAACCAAGCTTGCCTACAAATAATGGCTTTACGTGTGGGTATCTGGAACGCCAATGGCCTGAGAAACAAGACTCAGGAACTGGCTGCGTTTCTCTCACAAGAAAACATAGATATAATGTTAATAACAGAAACTCATGAGTGCCCCACTACACAAATTTTCGGATACGAACACTATCAGGCTCATGGTGAAGGAGCAAACTGCTTTGGTGGATCCTCAATCCTCATACGAGCAACAATACCGCATACACCTTTACTGCCAATTTGCAACGCAACAATGCAGGTCTCAGCCATCACCCTGCCTACGTCTATTGGAGCGATCGAAGTTGCGTCAATTTATCTTCCGCCAAACACTGGTCTGTGTGATCATCACATGGAACAGGTTCTAGGCCAAAGGTTGAATAAGACCCTCATCGGCGGCGACTGGAATGGATGGCACCCATTTTGGGGAAGCAATAGTGCGAATCGTCGCGGAGAAGTCATATTTGAGGCGATTCAAAACTTACAATTCAGCATATTGGCGACTGGAGCCCCCACCCGTTACCCAATTAATGGACACAGGCCCTCGGCAATCGACTTCGCTGTCTACAAAGGCATCTGTGACCGGCAATTGACCATTGAAGAATCCTTGGACCTATCCTCTGACCACCTGCCACTAATAGTCACAATCCACGCGCAGCCACAGCCCTTGCCCATTAGGAAACAACTACTGCCAGCAGGATCAGATTTAGGAGTCTTTAGGCGCGAGCTCCATTACTCTTTGCACATAGAAATGGAACTTAACACTCCTGAAGACGTGGACTACGCAGCAAACAAACTGCAGGAAGAAATAGTCAAAGCTGCGCACCAAGCCGCCCCACCATCTTGCCAAACAAGACAACAGTCTCCGTACAACATCCCCCTCACCTTGGAGGCCCAACACCTACTAATACACAAAAGATGGGCCAGGAGACGCTGGTTAAGATTACGCACGCCTGATGCCAAATCCATGTACAACGAAGCCACGAGGCATCTTAAAGCTGCTCTCGCCCTGCTTCAAAAGAGGTGTATCAGCGATGCGCTGGTACGAGCTGAATCGCCCACTGACGCAGAGTTTCAATTATGGAAATTTACAAGAAAGCTCAAACGGCAGCCAATACGACGTCATCCCATTCGGAGCATTTCTGGTTCCTGGCACATTGGAGACGAAGCTCAAGCTGAGGCTTTTGCAAACCACCTTCAAGACCAATTCACGCCGGTGATTACCGCAGAGGCCTCAGAAATCGAAGCAACAGAAGACATCGTTCTCTCGCCCCTCCCAGCTGAAGACCAGATAACTGGATGTACAAAAGAAGAGGTTCTTGAACACATCAGAAGAGTGAAGGCAAAAAAATCCCCTGGATATGATCTAATAAACGGCAGAGTCCTTAGAGCACTGCCTGACTCCACCATAGACTACATAACTATGGTGTACAACGCCATGCTCCGCATCCGGCACTTTCCAGCCTGCTGGAAGCGCGCCGTGATTGTGATGATTCCTAAGCCTGGCAAACCCGTGGGAGAAATTGAGTCGTACAGACCAATTAGCCTGTTGCCAGTACTCTCCAAAATATTCGAAAGAATATTTCTGGAACGAGTACTGACACATCTGGGACGCCAGGAGGCCATTCCAAACCATCAGTTTGGCTTCAGGAGACAGCATGGAACACCGGAACAGGTTCACAGAGTTGTGCACCATATCCTTGGAGCCTTTGAAGAAAAGATGTACTGCTCTGCCGTCTTTTTAGACATCAAACAGGCGTTTGATCGAGTTTGGCACCTGGGACTGCTGCAGAAAGTGAGGACCACCCTTCCAGCCCCATTTTTCGCGTTGCTATCCTCATACCTTATTGGAAGAACCTTCCAAGTGTCAAGGGGGCAAACAGTATCCTTGACTAGACCAATTATGGCTGGAGTACCACAGGGTAGTGTTCTAGGCCCAACACTTTATACTTTATTCACAGGAGATATGCCAACTCCCGAGCCAAATATAGGAAGTACAGATGCAGTACTCATAGCGACCTATGCAGATGACACCGCCATCTTATCACGTCACGTATCTGCGCAAGAAGCTTCAGACTCACTACAAAAATATCTGGACTCTTTCGGACGCTGGGCAAAACGGTGGTGTATCACCATTAATGCACAAAAGTCTGTACATACTACCTTCGCCACTAGAAGAGGAGATTGCCCAAGCGTTGCATTGGGGCCCACTATTCCCAAAGCCTCAAAAGTAAAGTACCTTGGTATCACTCTTGACAGAAGGCTGACTTTTAAAGCGCACATAAGTCAAGTAACCTCAAAATGCAAAAGCAAGCTAAAAACCCTCGACTGGATGCTGAGAGCTTCAAGCAAGTTGTCTTACAGCAGCAAGGCCGCCATCTACAAGGCAATAGTTGTCCCAACCTTCGTATATGGTATCTCTCTATGGGGCTCCTCGGCGAAGACTACAAGGAACAAAATTCAGACCCTGCAGAATAAAGCACTACGCAGATGGACTGGAGCCAGCTGGTTTGTAAGAAACTCAGTCTTACATAGGGATTTAGCAATTCCCACAGTTGCTGAACTCATTGGGCGACACAGTTCAAGATACGCGGACAGACTTGCAGCGCATCCTAACCATCTCGCAAGCAACCTGGCTATAAACAACAATAGGCGAAGACTGAAGAGATTGCATCCTCTAGACAATATTAGAACTAATTAAGATAGTAGCTACAAGTGCAGAATAATTGGCATATCTGCCCTCCCATTAGTTAAGGTTTAGAGCTAAATGCGCTATAGAGTCTAAGACAATAAGCTGCAACAAAATAAAGAAATAAAAACGAAAAAAAAAAAAAAAAAAAAAATATTTTAACATATCTTAAATTATAATAATAATTTTTAAATATATATATATATATATGATATACATAAAAAATATTAAATATATATTAATATGATTTATATAAATATATTTAATGAAAATACTCATAAGAAATATTATAATTATTATGAAGCTGATAATTGTGATCATGATTGTAATGATGATCGATGAGCGTAATTTTTATAATTTTAATAAAATGGCTGATGATCAAATAAGAATAATGTTAATGATCTTGGTACTACTGATAACGATTATGTAGCTGATGATGATTATAATAGTTTTAGTAATAAGCAAGTTCTTAATGATGAAGATAAAAATTATAATTAAAAATATGATAATGCTAAAAGTATTTATAAATATATATTTAACTGTAGTAATAATCAACATGAGGCTGTTGATGAAGGAAATAATGATAGTTTTAGTATTAAACAAGATGGTAAATTATTCAATGATAATGATGACGATATAATAGTCGAGCTTCATTTTCTAGGCAAGCCTCATCTAGGCAGCTTAAATTTATAGATAATAATTTATTGTATTGCGATTGTAAGTACACAAAAATTGCTATTTAATATAAGATTATTTTAAAATTAGAATTTAAATACGTCCATTGCTGCTATCCAAGCTTCAGCAAGTTAAATAACCAACTAAGTTTTCAATCTTACTCAACAACAAACATAAAATGGGAAAAAACCTTTTTAAATCGTGTCGCGGCTGACGTGTTCGGTGTCATGTCTTTAGCAGCTCCAAGTTGTCGACTCTATTATCTTATGCAGAGGTATGGCAGGTGAAGCCAGCGTGCCATCTACAAGACCGCATTGTCAGAGCTTACACTTGCCACAGAGACACCCACACACACACACAAAGTCGCATTTGTTGATGTCGAAAAATGCAATTTTTAAATTTCCATTAATTTCGCGCTGTCGAGTTTTGTAAAATGTCACTTGTGAATTCAAAGCGTTCCATTGAAGGCACTCGCACAGCGTATAGGCGTGGCAGAGCATGCTTGTTATTGTTGTGCAGGCGACCAGCAGCGGCGGCAGCGGCAACAACAATGCTTGCAACGAGGCGTATAACTTGCCCAGGTGAAGGCTGTAGAAGAATTCCCATCTAAGTGACTGACTGACTGACTGACTGATGTGCGTGTGTATGTATGTGGAGTGGCTGCTATGGCACCTGCAACTGCACTTGCCGAGCCAGCCCAGACAGCCAGCCTCCAGGCATGCCAGGCAGCAACCGGCAGCAACTAACAAACGATTCTTTCTTTCCTATTCTCGTTCTTCTTTTTATCTCGCTTTTTCTGTTCCTTTTTAATGACATACATGAACAAGGCGTGGACTTGAGTCTGCGAGCACACTTATGCACACCCCCAGCCTCCCCAACTGGCACGCCCAGTTTGTAGCACTGTTAGGTGGTCATATGATAGGGTCTTCCGTCAAGGAGCGTAGTACTATTTTAGTCGCCTTCACTTGATGCTGAACAAGCGAACTTACACGACAACGTGACATTTAATTCAAAATGGGTTTTGTGTTTTTTTTTCCTTTACCGCCGCTTGTTAACAGAGAGAAGCAAGAAAAAACTGGTTGAGTGGGGGCTTCATGTGAACAACTGTGATAACTTTTCGCTTAAAAGCAGAGAGAAAAACGCATGAGACATGAATGCTGTGGCCTTTGGCATATAAACGGACAGCGAAACCACACAAATTACCATCTAATGAAATACGTAATCGAACTTTCGATTTGATAGTTTCATTATGCAATCCAGCAGCTGCATTAGCCACTCGCAAATTATTAATGGAAAAGTAAAAGTAAACAAACAGATAAAACTACAATCGGTTGGGCATTATTTAACTTAAATTTATTGATCCAAATGTGACAATGTAGACAAAAGACTGAAGACATTTTAGTATTACTCGTCGGGCTCGTCCTCTTCTTCGTCGCCCTCGGCGGGGCCTGCCTCGCCGCCCTCTTCCTCCTCGACCATTTCCTCGGACGAGCTGACCTCCTCGATGGGCTCGATCTCGGAAGCCAGGTCCTCTTCGTAGTCACTAATTGCGGCCAGCTCCTCCATGCACTTATCATAGCTCTCATCGAAGCGTATGGTCTCGTTGAGCGAGACCACCTCTATATCCTGGTCAGGTGGCAAAAGCATCGGCGCCGTGCCCGGTGGGCATTCGGTGATGTTACGTATACGCAGCGTGTGTATGTGAAAGATTGCCGAACGATTGGATTCGAGCAGTATCTGGTGAAAGACGCTCAGCAGACGATCCATATTGCCAAACATGCGCACCGAGGCACTTTTTGGATCGTCGCCCTCCTCGAGTATGCGGCCCACAATGTGATGGCGATAGGGATCCATCAGATAGATGAATTCACCCTTCTTCCATATCGAATACATTTGATTGTTGATCTGAAAGATGATGTAGTCGTTCTCGTCAATCGCCTTCTCCAGCATCAAATGGAAATCGTTGTACTTGTACATGGGCACACACTTCCACCAGCCCTCGAAGACGTTTGGTGTGAGCATCACCTCGGCCACAAATTGACCCATGCGCACCTGGCGCGGAAACGTATCCAAGTCCATCGGCTGATTAATATCTGTGCATGGCTCCCAGCAGTTCTTGCACATGTTGACGCCATAGCAGAGGACTTTATCGTAGGTCTTCATATCCCAGGTGGCCGGATGATCGATCTTGGAGGCCAATGCCGTGGCCACAGACACTGGCAGTGCGCTGCGATTACGCAGCGCATCCTTTGGATTTAGCGTCAAGTGCAGATTCGACTTCAGATAGCCATAGTCGGAGGCAATCACATCGAATTCGCTCATCCGTGGCCCGAACTCACGCTCCTGGCTGAAGCCTTGCTCGCCGGGCGTCACCAGCCGCACAACCAACATGTCGCGCAACGTAAACTTGCTGTTCTTATCCAGATTGCATTCCTCGCGTATCAAATGTATGACATTGTCAATGGAACGCATGGCCAGCAGTATTGGATAGCCGCCTTCCGAATTTAATTTCAGCGTGTCCTTCTCCCGTCCATTCAAATCGAGCACCATCCAAACGCCAGTATCCTTCCATATCAGCAAATACGTACTGTTTGCGTAGAAGAGACCGATGGTGTGCTTCTTAAAGAAGGCGGATAGAATGCGTCGGATATTTTTGAGTTTATTCTTGATGCCGTACACTTCGAAGGGTGCATCTAGCTCGATGGCGAACTCAATGTCGTTTATCTTAAAATGTCGCGTAACCAACTGCTCGTTGGCATCATAGACTTCTGGATAGCGATTGGCGTTGGGCTCCTCCAAGCCCTCCGAATCGTTGAACAGCACCTGCCCCTCGTTAATCACCTGATCAACCAGCTCCGGTGACCACTCGTTACGTCTGGTAAAGTAAGTGGCCGTAAATGCTTTCAAAAGTGCAGCATAACGGATGGCATCCCCATTCGGTAAGCCTTGCTTTATGGGCACCGAACCGTAAACAAGGCCCAACGGGAAGCCCAATGATCTGTCATGAAACTCGCGCTGCAGAGCCTTGCACTCCTTGGGATCGAAGGGGCGCACATAGGGCTCATCGTGTGCGCCGTAGATGCGGCAATGTTCCAGGCAACACGGGTCCCGTTCATAGTAACCAACTGATCTTGAGAAGCTGCAAGTATACAAAAAGAATTGAAGCTACGACGAGGAAGAGTTAATTCCATTCTGTGCTCACGTTGGCTCGCAGCGTACGGGCGGACAGCAGCAGCAGTTGCCTCCTTTCATGCGCTTCTTGCTACTCATTTCGTTATCTTAACTTTAAAAATTTTAAGCTTAGCTCAATTCAAATAAATTCATAGCACTGTCAGCTTGTGTGACAACAAAATGAATATCTCCGATACTTTCGGACTGACAAATGTGTAAAAAACGAGTGGAAAGTATGTGACTAGTTGATGACACGTTCAGAAGTCAGGAAGTCTGTAACTAAGTTTATTTGTTATGCATTTATTATTTACTTAGTTTAAAAATCCAATTAGAAATTTGTAATTTGCTGAAGCTTTTCTTAATTTCCTTTTCCTTCTAAAGCAGCTAATTATATCAACAACAGTTAATTAAACAAGCGCCTAAAATGTTGACAAACTTGTGATTCGTCAGCCATTTGTAGCACCTGCAACTGTACCCCACTGTGCCCACCTGTGCCCACCTGTGCCGACTGCCATTCGCATGCCTGTGAGCTGTGCTATAGATATTTTGTGCTACATCTTCAACGTCGCCCTCGACCGTTGTTTTCATTACACAAATTGCGCTGAATCACAACAAAAATTTCATTTCCCGCATACATATAGCAAACTTATGATAATTTTTTAGAGAGGGGCGAGAGAGCGTGTGTCTGGAGAAAAGAAATTTTGTGTGCTGTGAGTTTTACGACAGAGCAAAGTTAATTTCTTAGCGCAGCAGTGGCAACTAACAGTTAACAGCCAGGCCAGATAACACGAGACAACAGTTAAATGTAATTGGAAAGCTCATCAAGTGCCGTTGTGGTTGCTCCTGGCTGTTGCCACTTCAGCTGCGCGCAGAAGTATGCAAAAGATTTTGTTTGTGCTTTGCTTATTTTGTGCGGTTTATTGAAAACGAAGCCGCACGCTGCGTATACGTAACGTGCTGTCAATGGCTAGCAACAGTGCTTAGCTAAGCTGCTTTGCGCTGAGCTGCCTCCCCTTCATTTACGAGCTGGCACTTTATTGTCCTTTTGTTTTTGGCTGGCAGCCACGTAATTGGCTTAGTCAGTCAGAGTGTGTACAGCAAGTCAGGTGAAGTGGGCGGCGGTGCGCTGGGCGCGGTGGGTGCAGCGTGCAGTCAGCCATTGCTATTAACAATTTCCTGTGAATGTGTGAGTGTGTGTGTGTGTGTGAGGTTTTTATTTCGTGTCATCCAATCAGCCGCAATACGAGATACTTCAGTCACATGTGCAGATTGATTCCCCGAGCTGCCATCAAAGCCGTTTTCGACTTTATTTTTGTTTAGCTTCGGTTTATTTTTTTGGTTTTGTGCTTTTTTGGTTTTTGTATTCGTTTCATTTAATTTATTTGCTGCTGGTCTAGCTGTTTTTCTGGCCATTTGCTTAGGCCACTCGCGGCCAGTCGTTTCCTTCTTGGCATTGTGCAATAAATTTACACAAAATCGTAAATTTTAAACACTTCATTTAACAGCGGCGAGAACACGAAGCGAAATGAAATGAAATGAAATCGCTTAACGATTATCGCCCACGACAAGGCGATGTCTGTCTGTCTGTGCGTGTGTATGTGTGTGTGATTTCTTGGTGTGTAACCACCAAGTGCTTCAAGTGCTGCTGGCCACTGCCATCAGAGTTTTCCCATTTTCTTTAAATTTTTCGCTGGGCAATTCCCAAGCGAGCGAACTGTTCTTCTTTTATTTTTCTTCTTCTTCTTCGTTGACTGCAACAAGAGTGCACTTCCACTTAGGGCTTTGCCCATGAATTTTCACGAATGTTGTCTGCCAAACCAAGCTCTAAGACCCAACAACAAGCCAGCTCCTTCCTCCGTCCGCCCGCCCACCTGCACGCCTGCCTGGCTGTCTGGGGCTGTCTGCCTGTTTGGTTCAGTGCTCAATAATGATTTCCATTGCGAATTATTTGCATTTCCCCGAACTCATTATGTTTGCATTGTGTAAAATTCAGCTACGTCTACGACTCTCGATTCTCGCTGTGACTTCAGAGCTCTGATTGTGCCGAGCGCCTGCCAGGTGTGCCTGCTGCTTGCCATTTCAAAAGATGCCAAAATACATTTGTGTTTAGCATTACATTGATTATATATTAAATATACTCTTCCTTACAGTATACACAGCTTTATATATCAGTCTAGCTACCACTTTCAATCTAGCTGTAGTATAATTTAATGTGGGATCTTCGACTTCGACTCACATCAAGAACTGTTTGCTCTCTCATTACAAATACCCTACACTCGGTAGAGTATTTGAAAATCGTTTCGTTTTCGAGCATGACATAAATAATTCCAGAATTATTTGGTTTTATGCTGCAGTTGAAATGCTATTAACATTTCCCTTTCCTCATAAAATAAACGCAATTATTTATGCATATTTACGTAAAATTGTGGGAAATATCATATTAAAAGCGGGCAGGCCGCAATCGTTTTCCCATTTCTCTCTCTCTCTCTCTCTCTCTCTCTCTCTCTCTCTCTCTCTCTCTCTCTCTCTCTCTCTCTCTCTCTCTCTCTCTCTCTCTCTCTCTCTCTCTTTTGCTATCTTCCTCCAACTCAGTTGCTGCTGCATTTTCATTTTATTTCGTTTCATTGCGTTTCATTTTGTTTTCGTTGCGTTGCGTTTCGTTTCGTTTATTACATGTCAAGCGTCAATGAATGTCAGTTTGACAGTTCATAAGACAAATACGACAATGGGTGTGGTGTGAGTGCCAGGACGTACCTGGCTTCACACACACACACACACACACACACACACGTCTAGCCATGCAGAGGCATTCGCGGGGGCAGAGCAATGTGGTTCTGGCGCTTGTGACAGCCAGGTAACATTTGCGGACATTAACGTCAACGTGCAGCGGCATGCCACATATGAGAGACGTGCACAGGCCACGCCCCCACATCCCACACACACACTCAAGCGCATATGCTGTGAAGCAGACGCCGCTTGCATCTTGAATAATGTGCAAAGTGCGAGGCAGCCGCAGCCGCAGCCCCAGCCCCAGCCACAGCTGAAGATTGGCAATTCTTGAGTACGTGTAAGTGGCCTAAGGATGTTGCATACGCTGCTGCTGCTGCTGCCACGGCAGCCGTTGTCCTGTTTTGGAAGGACATGTGCGACGTCGTTTTTGCCTGTCAACTTATTGGCCCAGGAGCTTCTACTTTTCGCACTTTAAACAATTCCATAGCGAACGCTTGAAAATTGAAAATCAGATAAATATGTGAGCAGCTGTCGCTGTCTTTAATAGACGCTGTCAAGGATTGAGTGTGTGTGTGTGGTGTGATGGGTGTGGCTGGCATTGACAGCTAGCTCGCAGCACACTTTGAAAACTTTCAACGCATTGTCATAAATCATTTTGCGGCAAACAAGTTGTATGGAAGTTGGACACGCCTTTTTGCCCCTACAACACGCCTCCCACCTACACACACAGAGAATATCTTTTGTTAGGCATTTGAAGTGGGGCAGCAACTGTCTGAGTTACATGCAGAAATGTCAAAGTTGAGTTCACGATTTGTTGTTGTTGTTGTTGTTGTTGTTGTTGTTGGCGGTGGTGGCAGCCTGTCATGTTCTGGTCTGCTCAGTGCATGGACATAAGTCAGAACAGTGCTTCGAGCCATACCTGAAGTGGCAGTGCTGCTGCTGCGCTTTTTGCCAGCTGCCCTTAGCTTCCATTATTATCAACGTGGACAGCATATTTTTTATTTTCAATCAGGCAACTGCTTGAGTTACTCCAGAGAATAATAGCCTGTCTATTGCTAGCTCAAATTACGTATACGTCCAGCTTTTCTTCCACTTATTATTTTTTATTTATTTCTTGCCCCAATATATTGTTGTTCTTAGACATGGTTATTGTTATAAATAAATGTATGTATATACTCTTTTGTGTACTTTAGTTTTATAGTTCTTGTGCTTGTGCGCCTGGCTCTTGTTACTTATTTTTGGAGTGACTGCTGAGAGGGTTTACAATTTCTAGCACTCAATTGCGAACCGGCTGCCGTTGAGTGTTTGGCTCGAGGGCGGGCGCTAAGCGGCGGTGGCGACGGCGGCGGCATTGTGTTTGGCAACATGAGATTTTGATGTAAGCGTGACGCTGCCATATGTGCAAAATGTTGTAAGTGTTTCAGGCTGTGTTAGATTTTTAATATATTGCAAATACAGCAGAGCTGTCCATATGACTTTAACTTAAAAATATTGCCAAATTGTGAAGTCTGACGTGACTCGCCTTTTGAAAGTCACTCGACACCAGCTGCTGTCCTAATCAAAAATTCACATCTTTTTGTTATTAAATTTTGCACATATTTACGGGGGAGTTGGCATAAATGATTTCTTTTCGCTTTGCAATCAAACAAATTACATTTTTGAAGCAAATATATTAAATTTTATAGAAGAGTATTTTACTATTTTCTATCTTTCTTTATCCCTCTCTCTCATTCCATCTCTCTCTGTCTTCATATTTCATGGGGTCTTTTTTTGTTCTGGACTCTTTCTCTGTGGCTCTCCCTATCTCGCTCTCTCTCTCTATCTCCTCAGTCTTGCTATCTCATTCTCTACTTATTAAATAGTATTCCTATCCTTCTCTCTCCCTCTCTCCCACATGTTTCTCTCTCTCGCCCTTACCCAGTCGATCCTTTTCTTTCTCTCGTTCTCTCATTCTCTCTCCTCCTCTCACTCTCTCATTCTTTCTTCCTCTATTCAGCTAACTCACTTTAATTATATATCTTTGTCTCTTCCTCGCTCGCTACCTTCACCCTGTTTTTCTATGCATTTTGTTCATCTCTCTGTGTCTCTATTACTCTGCCTATTTACTTACCTGTCTTTCTATCTCTCTCCATTTACCCCTGTCACGCTAATGCCAAAGTAGACCTCTTCTTCACACTTATCCCATCTTAGCTCTGTCATATATTTCTATATATGACATTTGTGGGGTCTTTCTCCATCTCTCGATCTACCTGTATCCTTCATGTATTACTCACACAGAGTGCACTTGCCTCACTGTTCCGCCTTAGTTAATTAAGCAGCCATTTTTCAATTCCTTTTTTGCCACAAAATATGAGGAAGAGGAAGAAAATGTCTGCGAGAGCCGAGCCAATGTCTGATTACTGGCAACGACTTCCGTTTTTTAATATTTATAATCCACTGTAATTAAGACAAGAGCCAAGC